ACCTTAGATCGTCGATTGGTTGCCTCGCTTAATGCCAAGTGTTCTGTCACTTATTCTGTTCTTTTTTTAAGTCGCTAGATGCTTTCGTAGAAATTCTCGATTCTGCATCGATTTCACCAGTTAAATAGACACATTTATATCTTTAGACTGCCTGTTTACGAGGCTGTTTTTATCATTTTGAGAACATTTCGTCTATGTTTCTTACCGTGAGTTCAGTGACTTGGACGATTATTACTGTCGATTGGCAGAAGTGACATTTCCTTTTGTTTTGATTGAGTTTCCGCCTTCCGCGCTGATCAGCTGTTGTGGCTTCCAAGCGTTTTCAACGACTTATAGCGGATAAAGCATAATGCTATAAGTGATTATAACAATTCACGCGACTGGTCGAAACCTCCAATGACAATGAGCTTCTCGGAGAAAGGACAGGATAGCATATCCAAAGAAGAATGGATGTCAAAGCTGGAGGAGAGCACCTACATACAAAAAATGTCAATGAACAATCTAATCATGAATTATCTAGTCACAGGTAATAAACTCTGAAGTTTGTTATGGTTTCACGTTATCGCAGGAATTGTTAGGGTAATGAAACATTTCATTGAACAGAGGGATTTAAGGAAGCTGCTGAAAAGTTCCAGCAGGAATCGGGAGTAGGTCCAACGGTGGAACTGAGCTCTCTGGATGATAGGATTCGCATTCGAGACGCCATTCAAAATGGTCGTATTCAGGAAGCGACGGACTTGGTGAATCAGCTACATCCCGAATTACTGGATAATGACAGATATCTCTATTTTCATCTGCAACAATTGCACCTGATTGAACTGATACGCACAGGCAGAGTCGAAGAGGCACTTCAGTTTGCCCAGGATCAACTCAGCGAGGCTGGAGAATCAGATGATAATATACTGTGCGAGTTGGAACGTACCTTGGCACTGCTGGCTTTCGACGAACCACATAAGAGTCCATTCAGTGATCTTCTACATCCAACACACAGGCAGAAAGTGAGTGCAGTATTGTGTTTTGTTTCACTAAAATTAATTTTGTGAAAAAAAAATTAATTCTTGATTGTTTCCAGATTGCAAGTGAATTGAATGCTGCTATATTGAAAATGGAACATAGAGAATCTACCAGTCCCCGACTCAACAATTTGTTAAAGATGATATTATGGGCTCAGGATGAGCTAGACAAGAAAAAAGTGAAATATCCAAAAATGACCGATCTAGGTAGTGCCACGATTGAAGATTCGAAATAATTGTATAATAGACAAACTGGGACTTCTCAGTTTTATATATGAATGAGATAAATGAATGTCTTGAATTGATCTTTAAACATAATTTGGTATAAATCACTGTTTATTTTGTAGGAAATTATATCTAAATTTTAATCTTGTATAACAAATTAGAGAAAAGATGTGTAGAATCGTTAATGACTTAATTGAAATAAGAATGTAATGATTAAACTGACATATTGTTATGATTGCTGTAAGAAATAAGAATTATTGCAAAAAATATTTCTTATGTCTTTTAGGACATTAACGTAAGAAAGCCGATAGAGGTATATTCAAGTTTTGTATATATAATATTATTTATTAGGAATATATATATCTTGCGCAAAAAGATTTACTAAGGCCTTGAGCCATTCTACATAATTGTAAAGATGAATACAAATACAACATCTAATAACATGCATATTAATTTTCAAAAGTAACAATCTTTGTAGATATACCATATTGCAATAACTTTCAAAATTATATGAAAAAGTTTATTTTTAGAATAACAAATCAACAATGATTCCACTTAAATATTAAGTTAAAAGTTAGCAGTTAAAAATCTCTAGAAGATGATATTCCTTCATTCTATCGTTCTTTCATTGTTTTTCATTTCTTTTTTTATACAACTTTTATTAGATTTCATAGATAATGTTCGTATAATTATTAAAAACAACTACCAACCAAACATATATTCCATTGCTTTTGAAACTAAGCTACCCGACTTTTGTGGAACGTTCTCCGGCAATTGTGCGGCTTGCGGGCTAAAATGTTGATTATATCCTGCTGCTAATGATCGCAATTTCCGTCGTCTCGCGGTAGGCGATGCACTGAATGGGGATTGAGTGATTCTACCCGCTGAAAGCGATCTCATACTTCCATTCAATTTGGTACGATTTTCCTTGTCCGAGCATAGAATGACCCCTTCATCTGTACATGGTATAATGCCAATCATAATCGTGCCCGAAACAATACTGCCGTTGCATGCGAGAGCCTTTTGTGCCTCCTGTTCCGACGCGCACTTCAAGTGTATCCAGTTGCTCTGGGGCTGTGGAGCTGGATGTTTCTCCACTATGCGAACTCTGCTGGAGATATGAGATAGAACAGCATTGATATCGGTCGGCAGGAAGCCAAATACTGTCACCCATTGCAATAGACCTTGCGACTCGCTTGTGTTCAAAGTTATCGAACTGTCTGGAAATATCAGTGAAGTAGTTAATGGGCTCATCATGAGTCTAGATTGGTTCACAGGTGTGGTTGTAATAACTGGATTCGTAATTGATGTAGCTGGGGGCAATGACACATGTGTAACTTCCAGAGTGTCAAACAGTCCACGTGTTGGTGGTCCTCCAGCATGATTCTTCGTGCTCATTTGTGGTGTGCTAGGAGTTGTAGTACTTCCAAATACCGCTTTTTGGCGATTGGATCGATAATCTGGAGATCCATAAGAGACCGATGACATCAGACTGGTATTAGTGATATTCAAATGGCGTGGATTATCCTGAGGACTCATTATATTGATCTTTGCTGGCTGAAATTTTGAAGATGCACATTAACGATACAGTGTCATATGTTTTAAATTAATAATAAAATATTATATGCTCACAGTGTTGGTATCACCCAAGAGAAAACTTGGCAAATATGGGGAAGAACTTCCTGGACTACCAGGACTTTGAATAGGACTACTCATCGGTGATCCCAGAGTCATAGGCTCCATCTAATGTATGAAATGATTATATTAATAACATTTAAAAACATCCAAAAATGATCAAATTTTTTCCGACTTTAGAAATAAATATGTAACTATAATTTTACGTAAAAGCAGATATTTTAAATAAAAAGACAGAATATATACTTTTTAGGTTATCATCACTAATATTTTAGACGTTCCCTGATTTTTTAGACGCATTAAAAAAATTTAAATTATATTTAAATTACTTACATTTTTTCTCTTCCAAAAAATATTTTGCTTCTCTGAAGAAATCTTCCACTTTTACTTACAGATAGATAATATCTATTTTCAAATATAGAAGAAAACGTTCGTTACTCTCGTGTAAGATGACTCTGACAACTAACGGCCAGTTAGGTCTTTTACATTTAAAGCGAAATAGACATATATAGCATATGAGCGTCGAAAGAAGAAAGAACGAGAAACACGAGTGCAGAAGTGCAGTAATACGACGAATCTAAGGTCTGTTCTTTTTAGTTGAACTGATTGCACTAGTTCAGAGTTTAAATTTCTTCTTCCAGTGTAAGAAAAAAAGATAAACTAGTAGTATAACCAGTTCAGCCAAAAAGAAACAAGTCTTTGGATAGTCAATCAGAGAATGCAATGTCACGTGATCACACGTTTTAAACATTGACTCGTTTTACTTTAATAAATTGTCATTTTTTTAAGAATGTAATGAAAATAAAAAAGCGAAAAGCATTAAAAATTCATCAATCGAATTGTGTTTTATAATAAAAAAATTTATGAAAAAATTTTAATACACTTCCAAAATTGAAGAAAGATGAACGTTGGTAAACATGATCGAAACGATCCCCCCCTCTCCCATTACCTGTTTAGTTGGTCGAGAAACGATTGGTAGGATTGATACACGTTGGTACACTACTCAGTAGTTAACGGACAAATTCGAAAAGTGTAACTCGCACTATCGCGCGGGAAATAATGCGAAAGATGATAATATGGGAGCAAGCTCGCGAAGGAGAATCTATCATCTTTCATCAGGCGAGCTTGAATACTCGACAACTGCAATGATAGATGTGTTTTTCAGAGAAAGATAAGCAGTACTGCTTAGAAAAAGGAGAAAAGCTTTTTAAATCGTTTGTTAATCCACCATCTTGCTTTCGATAATCGTAGATACTGAACGAAATTAATATCTAGGAGGGGGTGTCGTAAGATTAAGGGTTTATGAAGGCTGTAATCTGTTAACTTATGCCATAACCGTGAAAAATTGAAGTCGAATTATAGTCGAATTATAGTCGATTATTCTTCTATAATTTGATTGTGATTGGTCAATTTTTTTATGGTTACGGCATAAATTAACAGATTACGGCCTCCATAAAACCAACTCTAAAGGATCTTTTTCCGGAAACAAGTGAAACAGAAAGGAATGTCAAAACGATGGGGAGATGCAAAGAAAGGTAAATACGTTCTCTTTATTTTTTACAGACTCATATATTGATGTCTTAAACATAGTGCGTTTGAAGAAATTTACCGAAGAAATAATAATAATAAAATATAAAAAAAACTAATTTCGTTTCTTTCGTTCTTTTCTTGTGCTAACAAAGGTAAAGAAAATAGCGATATATTACTAATAGTAATAGAAAGAAAAATATCTTAGTAATATACTAGTAATATACACAGGTCTTTCTCCTCCGTATTTATATTATTTTTATGTGTAGAATATATCTGAGAAGGAAAATCGTCTTCATCACTTTTTTTTTTTACTCCAAAGCTTTTTAATATTCAATTCTCATAAAAAAAATGAAAAAAAATAAATTTTGAATCACAAACTATTCTCTGCTATTTAAATTATATTAGAAAATAATTTATTAATTAGTTTTTAATTAATCAAAGCAGTGAATATGATAAATATGTAGCCATAAATCATCATTAAATTCATTTCCTACCGATGTCAAAAAACTTTGAAAAAGAACGGGATTTCAACGACAATTATCCTTTCCAGAATACATTCTACACAAAATACACACATTTAAAAAATTACAGAAAATTACAGAAAAATCGGAAGAGAGAGCGTTATATCGCATATTTACCATATCTTTTATCACAAATTGCAACGGAAAAATGATTTCAAAATTATAGTAACACAATTGTAAAATGACGAGAAAAAAATAGATATTTTTGCAACAGTGTAAACTGTAGCGCGTGGCGAAGCAACGACGACACTCGACGCCGTTATATAATTGTGAATAATTTTAATAACGATGAAAATTATGTACATATTTACAGGCTTGTAAACACTTATTCGTAATACGACACGTATTAAGGGCCTTAAGTCACTACCTCGTTCGAAACGCGTTTCTACTCGATTGACGAATATGAACGCAATGCCTCGCGCGAGTCGCGCGGCTTTCAGTTTCGCGTCTCAACGCGCCTTTCCTACGTTCGAAATCGCGATGCAAAATACTTCCGCGTCTATACGAAAAATATATCGAAAGGGCCTACTTTGAGCATATCGAAATGCTGTGTGCTCACATTGATTCGAAAATGATAATAATACGGACGCGCCGCATTCTCGCCTATATTCATCCTGGAAAGAGCAAGGAACGCTCTAATTTTTCCTCTAGCACTATACATCGCAAATTAACAATTAAAATTATTAAAAGAAATATATCAAGATACAATTTTAAAGTACAAATCGTAGATACGCTTTCTTCATATTTTATGCCGTTCAGAAGAATTCACAGAGAAATTTAGGAAACATGAGAAACATCCTTCAAAAAGGAATATTCTCAAAAAGAAAAAAAACGAACGCTCTTTCCTCTCTTTTTTTTTTATCTTTACACGTAGAATGTTTATAAAACTATATTTATTGAGACTATCGGTAAATCCTTATGTCGCTTTGTTGCTCAACTGACAGATAAGCGTCGCGCTTGGATTTATGCTCGGGAAAAGATACGCAAGAAAACACGCCGAGGTTCCGTGCCTTTTTTTCGTTGCGCTCGCCCGCGATTTTGGGCGTTATTATTATCGTACGGCTTCCGGCGCGTTCTCTTTCCAGGATACACCACGCGGAGTCAAGTTTTGTTTTAACGCAAAAAAAAAGTTCTCGAAGATCTTCGTCCTTTTTCAGATATGTGTCAATTTTTCCACGCTTCCTTTTCTCGTGCGAGCAAGAGCGACGGATCTTTCCTACTTTACAAGAGAAGTACACCATTTGTCGCGTTGGAAACGGAATTCCGTCAAATATTTGCGCCGCGTATTTTCCGCCGTGAGAAAACGTTCCGCGCGAGAGGCGCGTTTTCCTCAAGCGAGAAGGCGGAGGGAGGAAGGGGAAGAGGACGAGGATATTATATGAAGCAACGGCACTCATATCGAGAGTACGCGCTATTTTTTTCCGTCGCGGAATTCTCTCTTTCTCTCTCTCTTTTTTTTTTTACATAGAGTACTCTCGCGGATGTGTTCCATAGGCTTCGCTATCGCGTAATGCGAGTTTCAATCACAATAACATTTTTCTTGTTATATTTTTTTGTTCGTGTTAGGCAGTGGCGTATAGCGCATCGCCCGGTGTACTTGCAACGACCGCTCGTTTTTAGTCAAAATATGCTGCAGGACCGAAATATATCCAGCCGACGCGATAATTGCGTATCGATCGGCGCCGACAGTTGATAACGCGCGGATTGCCGATGGTGATTTTCCGGTCTTTGTGCTTTCATATACTTTCATATTTATGTACGTATATATATATATATATATATATATATATATATGTGATGTGTGATATGTGTGTGTGTGTGTGTGTGTGTGTGTGTGTGTGTGTGTGTGTGTGTGTGTGTGTGTGTGTGTGTGTGTGTGTAGTTTGTGTGTGTGTGTACTTTTTAGTCGTATCAGATTCTTGTTTACGCTTACGCGGAAGAGTTTACAGTAAAATCATCTCAAATCGATAGCGATAGATAAAGTGACCTTAATAGTGCTCGCCAGGTAGCCAATAATGCCGTAGCCAGACGGACGAAACTTTATTCCGAGTCATTATTCAATAAAATCTGCGAATAGTATATTACCGACACTGCACAGCGGACGATCAGCATTTGAATAAAATTTCCGCGATGTCCTGCTTTTTTAAAGAAACACCGATTTCATGCAAATTTACCAAAAAAAAAAATAAAAAAAAAAGAAGATAAATGAGTAGAGTCTCTCTCTTTAACAAACTTTATTTCTCTACGCGCGTTTCGCCTACCGTAACAAAAAAAAGGATAATGCAATTTTTTTTACTGAAAGTAGTTCAATTTTCTCTCTTGATTCGATCGACGACGGTAATTCGATTTTTTTGTTTCATACGAGTGCAAGTGCATTTGAATATCGCGTTATTCGTGTACACTCGCACCGTCGATCAACATCTGGTGTAATTCCCTTGCTTAGGTTGCCCAACGAGAAAAACATCAATTCAAGTGGCGCTTATCGATGTCGTTTGCTGACTTGGAATTACAGGATTATTGTTAATTACGCCGGCACGCCGCCGGGGAGATGTGGTTGAAGTGGAGGTCCGATGTTCCTCTCTCCCTCTCCTCCCCGTCCCTCCCTCCTCCTCTCTCTCTCTCTCTCTCTCTCTCTCTCTCTCTCTCTCTCTCTCTCTCCTTAGGCCTGGCTGGCGTGCGCCGTTGGGGATATTTCAATATCGATCGAAAATACGATAGTAATTCCGTACGCGTGACATATACCCGATATGAGATTAACTATGCCTTACAATTAGTCAGAAGAGGGACGACAGCGACCCGATTAAGCGTTTCGCGTGGTTATCGAGTGGGAGTCAACTCAATCACGTTGCGATGCCTATGACTTACGGCCACGCGGGGCCCGTATTTTACATAACGAAAGATTCGTTTATAAAAGATATTCCCTCGAGCGAGTCACGAGTCGATTTTCTTGCGCGATGCCAACACGGTGGGCCGTAACAATGTGACGTTTGATAGAGATTATTCCGTGTCGTATGGAGGTTTTCCCCTTAACGTCTCTCCTTTTATGCGCGTACCGTAAGGTATTGTTGCACCGTAATATTATTATTGTTCAGTAAGTAGCTCGCTACTTCTTTAGCAGCGTTCGACATTTCGCTATCTTTACCGACCGAGAATTCTGTTGGAAACTGTAAAAGACAAGCGGAGGAATACACCTGCAGGGTAGCACGGTTAATAAAACAGTAATCGGAAGGATAAAAGTGAAAATGAGGAAAAGTCGTGAGTGTCTTACCAAACGCATCGAGGGGAGTCGAGAGAAATAAAATTAAAATTAAAAAAAAAAAAAAAATTAAAATTTCAATATAAATCAATTTCCCAGAATAAATTCTTCTATAAATACAATTTTTTTCTAAATTGTCTCCTTTTCGATATTGTTTGCCCACCGAAGGCAAGTACGAAGAAAAATCGCTCGCGACCGTTTTCGTGACTAGTATTAGCTCCGCTTTGTACGGATCGAGAAATCGCCGAAACGCGGAGGGTGAATGCGGCAGAAGGGATGGGATACGATAGCGATTCCGAGGGAAGCGCATTCGCGGGATCCAAAACTGGACCCTGAAGAGGACCATTCGGTTCTGGGAAGATCGTCGCTCGGGCGTCGCGCGGCGCGAGGACGCGCGACCGCCGAGCAAATAGAAATGATATGTCGTGAAAATAGAAAAACCCTTTGTAAAAATCGTAGTAAGAATAACATCGAATCGTATCTCGAAAGCGATACAAAAGACGACTTCTGACGCCGCCTTCCGCGACGTCGTTCCTCGCTAGAGAGACTTTGGACGATCTAAAACGAACGCGCGGGGAGTCGGATCCGTCGATCACGAGGCGATCGATCGATCGATCGATCGATCGATCGATCGACCACCGATCGTCCGCTCCGCGCGCGCAAAATACATTTAGAGCCTAGAGCGCACGTAATCGTAAAGCTCACGCCGTACGCCGCGGCGAATGCATAATTGGACGTACACTTATTATATGCATTATCGCGTATTATTTACGTTTACGCGAATTAGGAATTAGTAATAGATAGGGCGAAAACCGATCTCCTAACGTTTACATGATTAGGAAGCAACGTGGAAAAAAAAGAAGAGAGAAAAGAAATAGAGAAAAAAGAAACGCTCGTCGTTATTATCGCGCGACTGCGATCGATGTGATCAGGGCGACGACGAGGATCGTCCACTGGACTGTGACACTTGCGGATCCTGGAACATTAAAGACGAAGCTTCATTAGCTTTTTTCAGCTTATTTTTTTTTTCTGAAAAATCGTTAATTGCCTTTGTTCGTAAGGATAAAAATATCCTGGTTCCGGGTGAAGCTTTGACATCGGAATTTTTTCCGACGTCGAGGGAACTGAATCGCTCTAATGGATTCTTGAAAATTATTAAAAATTGGAAAAAGGAGTTCGCATTTATGTGGAACGTCCGATACCAGAGAAATTTTATGCGGAGTTTATAGTCGCCGATGATGTACTCGCCGAGTAAGACGGTGGTTTGCGGGGGATTGTAGCGAGTTAGCGATGCGCATCCCTTAAACGGCTAATTCGGACGCCAAATATATCCCACGTATTCATTTCGCGAAGCCCGAGCCTCGTTCTTGCCGTAATTTAGTTCGGGATTTGAATACAGTGTGGCTGTAATTAATCAGTTTTTATTGCGGGACCCGGGCGATAATACTATCGCGGATTAGGGCATCGAGTAATTAGTTCTCGTTGTGATTAATGCCGAATGTACGGTCACGGGGATTTGTTTTAATACTTAGGACCTTAATCCGATACTCCTCATTACTCGTACGACCCGGGGCGGAGCTCCTTCTCGATGCCCGGAAACGGAAATTCTCCTTGTCCGTAATAATAATAATATGGCAGAGGTTACTTTAAAGCGTACCGTTTACCGCGACACAAATACAAATAAATATTCGCGCAAATGGTAACGCTCGAATATTTGCCATCGACGAGCACAATACGCGTATTTACAATCGGTTTAGGTCGCGAAATATTTTCGGCGTGAAGCGAAAAGTCCTTTAATACGGCGAATTAATTGTTACACGCGTGTACGCGCGAGTGCGAAATTATCCGCGATGGTTTCCGGTCGGGATGCGCTCGCGAGAAACCGCAGGCCGCGCAAAAAAAAAAAAAAAGGAAAATAAACAAAACCCGTCATATATATTTTGTTACGAGCCGCGCCGCGATTGCTTCGCTCCTCGGTATATCAAATTCGACAGCGGAATAATCTGCTGAGGTTGAAGTATTATAATGGGGATTTATAATCCCCGCGCGCAGAGAGCTTGACCTAAGTGAATTTTTCATCATCTTGCTTGTAATCGATGATTCACCGCGATCGCGGGCCGCAAAGGGGGACAAAAAAAAAAAAAAAAAATCGACGAAGCGCGCGCACGAAAATTGCGGAAGAAATTGTAAGTAATACGAGAAAGTACAGCCGAGCGAGGGAGGGAAATAACTTTTTAATTGAACGTACGTTTTATTCTCCCGTAACGAGACAGAGGACCGGCTGCGATTTCGCTAATTATGGTTGTACCAATAATCAACGTCGGTGCAACTGGACCTTAATTATTTTAACTTGCTCGCTACCAACTTCTGGACAAGGTAAAAGTTGAATTCAGCATTCGGAGGGTTAATCGATAACGGGGGAACGTTGCGCAATTGCGGTGTAGGTAGGTAGGTAGGTAGGTAGGTAGGAGAGTAACCTCAGGGTGATCCAAGGGGGGGGCTTACCATTCGTCAGATCCTCGCGAGTGTGGCTCTGCGCCCGGGTCTCGCGGCTCTCCATTATAGGCGTTTTCAGAACACTCTCGTCGCCCGCCACGCTCTCCTCGTTGCTTCGCAGATAGACCGAGGCTATTGTGGCTATGCACTTTAGCTTCATGTCGCCCTGGTTGAAGTGCTTGTTCGCCACGCGGAATTTCAGACCGAGTCTCGCGGTCTCCAGACCGTTCTTCTCGACGGTGATATTGGGTCCTGTCAGGTAGTCGGGATTCCTGACCTGAAAGCGGCGCGTTTCTGCGATGATCCGTAAGGATTATTCTTAAAGAGGCCGGGGACACGACTCGCAACGCGGAAAGAATTCGCGGGACGAGTTGGGGGAGAGGGGGAGAGGGAGGGAGGGATGGGATCGAGCAATTAGATAGATTTTTAGTGGGACGTAGACTCGCGCGACCCGGATTACGCGATATCGACGGCATCAATTAGGCGCGCGGGAGATGGAAAACAGATACGCGATTCTGTAGAATGCAATTTGAAAACAATTAAGAACGAGAGATTGCGCTCTTTTGATCCCGGATGCTAAATTTTTTCGGAAACCATTACGCGAAATTGCATGAAGCACCGAAGCAAGATTCTAATTATCGCACGATAATGATAATAACATTCATCAGCGACGC